TGATAATGTACTTTGGGGTCTCTCTGGGTGGTAATGTTTTCTGACTTAGTCAGAAATTGCTCCCTAATTGTTGACAGCCTTGAGGTAACCCATGCCCTCCAAAAAGTGATAAGTAAGTACAGCTAGACATTCACCAGCCTCTGCTTCTTTGTCTTTGAAACACATGGACAATGCACCCTGCGTAAGTCTACAGCTATCTGTTCCATCTCCTAAAGTAAACATTACTGATTTGATTTGATTTTTGTACATGTGGTAAATACAGAGAAGTTTGAAGTTCTTTGTATAATACTTAGAAATATGTATGATATTGTTTTTTTGACATTATAGATGTTGAAATAAAAGTGCTCTATAACAGTGGAGGGCAACAGGATTGTTTTCCATATAGCACATTATGTGTCTCTGTTTAGCCATCTCTGTTTAGGGTCTGGCGTGAGATAAGAAATAAGACAAGACTTTAATGATTCTTTTTAAAAATCAACCTTTATTTCTAGAGCAGAAATCTTTGGTCATGCTTTAAAGTCTCTGAAAATTGGATTTGTTTCTCCTTTTTTTCTTAAATAGATACCCAATTCAAGGCTCATTTTAACAATATACAGCACTGGAGTAGTCACTGAAAGGAAAGAATCAAATAAATAGAATTAAACATAACCTCGACTAACATGTCTTTGTTATCCATGGATGATAGCCCAGTTAATAAATGTTTTCTCACTGAGATGGCAGACTGGAAGCTAATGGTGAAATACAACATACTCGAGATGCTCAAGACAAGCATACCTATAATAATCATATAGAAGTGTCATGCACAGAATGAGTCTATATGGGAGTTAGGGTAATGCAGTCTAGGTTTTCCTCTTCACTAGCCCAGGTGTGAACATTTATGCAAGGTAGAGAATTGGGGCAGGGAGAGGACTCTTCATGTTTTGGATATGTTGCTTGAAATTGATGCTTACAACTGGCAAGGGGCTGTAGATAGAAAAGGCAAGAGGAAAAGATGAAGAAGAACAGATTTTGGCAGAAGAGGTGGTTCAGGCATGCAGAATAGATATCCTAGTCCACATAATCATAAAAGTGTGTCTGTTTGCTAGAGTTGCTACATATCTCTCTCTGGTTAGGTTTCTGTCTTTAAATAGTGACATAGTATTGCCTTTAGACTTTGTGAGTCAGTAGACCAGAGCCAAAAAGAGTTCAAATATGAAAAATATGTTTTGTTACATTTGCCCTTAAAGGAATAGTCTTTTCTTAAGAGAGACAATCTGAATGGTTTCCATAATAATTTCTCATCCTTTTCAGCATCTGCCCACATTTTGTTAACTGAAACAAGGGATAGCAGAAGAGTTCTTGACTTGCTGTCAGCCTGTCCAGGAAAGACTTTACAAAGCCACAGCAGATTTGGGAGTATAAGAAAGTGGAATTCTACTTTCCCGCACAACAAAAATGCCCAAAAAATATGACTTTGTGATGGTTAAAAGATAGCTGAGAGCTGAAACTGGGCAGCATTTCTATCACAGTCCAGCCCTGTCATGGGTCATGTGGTTCAGCATGTGAACAGGAAGGTAAGAAGGGGTGAACTTTTGCCTCAGTTGCGCAGTCCATCAAAGAATAAATGGACCAAATCACTCTGCAGCTGTATAAGGAGGTGAACGGCTGAATACCTCTCACACAGAGGCCTTTGTGTTCTGGCCATGATCTAGCATTATGATGGGCCACACCAGGCTGGGRCTTTGTAGCAATTACTGACCCATTATCACGCTAGAACATGAGATCATTTATCTTCTAATTCAGAGTGTCAGCTGTTCTTCATTTACCAGTCAATAACCATTAATTACTTTCAGTGGAAATTTAAACAAAGCTTTTCCCCTCTGTTAAAACCAGTAAGCCATTCAGTAACGACAAATAAACCCGGAGCTGTATCTCCCCCTTTCCTCTCACTCTCAGCCCGGAGTTTGGTACAATATGAACTCTTAAAGGAAATGCCTAGAAATTGATGGGTCAAGGGCCTTTAATAGTCACACGGGGGGCAGAAGAAAAGGCACATTCCTGCCTCTTACTGTAGGGAAAGCATATAGCTGCTACTAGTCCCCAGGTTTCTGACTGGTTGCATAGGTTGTACCTGTGGAAATGACTATTTGAACGCAGAGTTTGTCCACAATTTGCCTGTCCTCTGCTTACATTTAATTTTTTAACAGATTGTTCATGCAGACCCGCTCAAAGTAGTATAATTTGCTGGCCTTCCTCGAAGTGAAACAGAATTATCAGTTACGTTGTTTGTAATGATTAGTGTGTCCATTTCTTCATACCTGATTTGCCTGAGATAATTGTGAATGCCAACGATTGTGAATGCCAGAAAAAAACAAAAGAATCAACAGTAAGAGATTCTCAAGTAATCATTAATCTAAACATTCTTTCCTGATAGGAGTTGAGGCAAAAATTGCTTTTAGCAACTGTATTTAGCAACTGTGTTTTTTGATTGCTAAGATGACCCTGCAGAAATGTATTACAGTTTAAACAGGACTTCTAGGAAGGTAAATGTTGCTCTTTGAAATGGTAGAAAAGAGGGGGTAAATCCAAATGCATAAAAGGTGGTTGGCTAGGTTTGGATTTTTTTGATCTTATTTTGCAGCTACCTCCTTCTTTGCACTTCTTATTTTAAAACAGCAGACAAGGAAGTTCCAAATTTTATATATTAATACACAAAATTAATTTACAAATACCTGAAGGACTCACTGGATTGCTTATATCTCAACATAAGAGCCTGTGCTAAAATTGTGTCCAAAGAATTACAATATTGAGATTTTTAAAAGTGGTAGGATGCCAAAAAGCATCATAACTCTGATCATGCTTTTACCAGTAAATGTGATTTGCCTGTTACATCTCTGAAAAGCTTGATGTGTGTGTACATTTCAAACAAAATATAAAGTCAGGAGGAGAATCTGTACTGTAAATTTGGACTGTGATTTACCAACTATCCAATCCTGAAAATCCTTATTCACTCAAGTAGTGCCTTCCCACAGAAAGCAGCTTGTTGTGCTCACATGGGCTTCTTAAGAATAGCTGAAGGTTGATGAAATCCATGGCTAGGCTAGGGGCACGCCTACCAATGACTTATTTTGAAAATGTCTTTTACCTTTCTGTGAAGCTGTGCTACTGTGAATCATACAAGTTTGTCCCATCACAAAGAAGGAATTGGTGATTTAGCATGACCTCTCAAATCAGCAGGGAAACCCCAGTGTTCCAAGAAAGCTAATAGGAGTGAGGGAAGTTAAGACATCTCCTGCCCACAAGAGGAGTTTCATCAGCCAGTCGGGTATTTCTGCGTCATTGGCTGGGATGCTCAGCCCTGGAAAGGAAAAATAAAGTTGCTGCCATTGTCCTGCCCAGCAGGTCATATCCCTAAAGCACAATTAATGTCAAGGACTTACACAGCAGTTGCCTGAAACTCAGCCTTCCATGCACGTTCACGATGCAAAAAGGTTGAAAAGGAACATGTTAATAAAATCTTGTCAAAACTTTGAAAGATGCATGAAATAATAACTAGGAAGAAAAATGTCTTGCAAACAGAACCGTTTAAGTGGAATGTATCTCCTTGCTATGCTAGATGCTGATTTATTAAGAAGTGGAGGGAGAAAAAAAAATCGGACATTTCAGGTGGTATTTACTAAGAGAAATGGAGCTGTCCCAAAGCTTTTATTAATCTGATTTGCAGAGTATCCACTACTCTCGAGGGACCTACTAAAGTTGTTTTCTTTAAAGCTTATGTGAAGAGGTCAATGCAAATAGCATTGTGGATTATCCTGGGAGAAGATGGCAGTTCTTTTTAGCATATGGAGAGAAAGTTGAGTTATTTTCTTTCCCTTCTCTGATTATTTATTAAATGAAGATCATGCCATACAGGTATTACTCTCTTCCCTTCCAAAGGAAATGAAGTTTTTGCATCATTTTGATTGATGTAAGGCAATAATTATTTTGTCCACCTACTAGGCAGTAGAGCAGTCTAGTGGCTAGAGCAGCAGTTYGCACATCAGAGGACTGGAATTCCTTGTTGCTGAGATGTACCTGCTGCGATACCTCAGACACGTTCTCTGCCTCTTTTCCCATCTGCTTCCCTGTTGATTGAGGCAGCAAGCCCCCCGGGATGCTGCCCATCCATCATCCTGTGTCAGTGGGAGGGGACCCTGGAAGGCTTTGCTTTGGGAAGCAAGAGGGCTCCCCTGAAATGCAAAAATGCTGATGATCTCAAGAAGTTGTGCTTCAGAACCAACTGTGATCTTTGTCACTGTGCAGGTAGCTTTCTGAAGGAGAAATGCTAATGGTTGTCTCACTTTTCTATTAGGGTTTCCCTGTTGCTGTGTCAAAAAGTTTATATTTCTGTTTAATTTATTATCAAAAGAGAAGGTGACTGCTAGAGGACTTTGCTCTGTGGCATTCAGTACATAATCAACAGGATAAAAAGATGATTTTGGTCAAATACATTGTTGACTGTTCTTAGTTATGTTATTACTTATTCTTAATTATTACCTCAATTTAGCCAAAACAACAACAGAAAAAGACTCAAGTAAGTGTCAAAGGAACCCATATTTTCTCATGGTGTCAAAGCGTTTGGAATTTTTCTGTGACAGTCAAGAGCACTTTCGATGGAAGGATTGTAATATTTTTTTGTCCTCGCCATATCTTTGTTGATCCATGTAATGTTTTAAGTGAATCCATACTCTCGAGCAAGTCTCAGTGTTCAAAAATAAACGTATAAAAGTCTCTCCTGCAGAACCCCCTGCTGTGAAACAAATTGAAAGTCAAGTATAGCATTGTTTCCTATAATAAGCAATAATTGAACCCTTTGCAGAGTTGTACTGACCTGCTGAATAACCGTCACATTAGGAAAGTGCTAATTTCCCTAGCATGATATGTGTATAGYTATCTCCAAATCAAAAATGCAGTAATATAATATCATGTACAAGAGGCCAGTTACATATGCGCTGAACCTGGCTTTATTTGTCTTTCCACAGGCAATGTGGCTGATGTTGCAAACAGATGAGCCAGAAGACTTTGTCATAGCCACTGGGGAGGTCCACAGCGTCCGTGAATTTGTGGAGAAGTCATTTAAGCACATTGGCAAAACMATTGTGTGAGTATGAACATGAGAGAGTAGCCACAGGCTGAACATTTATAACCTGCTGCCAATGCTGTGTTACAGAGCATTTTTTCTCTACTTTCTTATTTTTTCCTACTTGCTTTCTAATTTGATAACATGAGGCTTTCTGGGCATCAATGACTACGGCAGAGGGTAAGTCCACTATAAGAAAAAGCAGGAGGGTAGATCATAATTTTTTGCTTCCACCTCTTCATTCTCTGTTCTCTCATTCACTCCCTGTCCTGGGGGACAGATACTCTTTTAAAGATGTGAGTATTAAGCTCTGTTCATCAGTCTGCTGCAAAAAAGATGTTTCGTGCCCTAATCTCCATTTAACTGTTCCCCAAATCCAGGATATCCCCTCAGTTACACTCCCATTCTTTCCTATCGAAAGAGATGACACCTGCCAACCCTGCTCTTTTCCACATGTCAGTCCATTCAGCCACAGCACAAGGATTATGTAGCAGCTCACCCTACATTCCTATTAGCTCTTGTCCTATCAAGCCATAAAAATGTTGMGCAGTGGGTGCAGAATGTTTACAATGCATATTCCACATAGTTTGATGGAAAATACAAAATTCCTTCTCAAGACCATATAATAAAACCAGGATGGCTTGGTGAGCGCTTTCCGTAATTTATATTTTTATTGTTTATTATTTTTTCAATTTCCCTCCTTCTGTATCTTCTCTGGGCCCCATGCATCAACATACCAATCTCAGCTGGAAAAGGGAGAGGAAAGCCACAGGCTCTTCCATGACGCTAGCGCCAAGGCTGTTCCTCAGGCCATCAAAGTCACTTGTGCAGCTGGTGAACTTTTGACAGGGCCAATAAGTTTTACTTGGGAACAAAAACTTGACAAATTCAATAAATATGCAGAAGTGCACAGATATATACAATAYTATTTGAACAGCCAGTGGGTGGCTGGGGAGGTAATAATATTTTCTCCTCAATGAGTTTTTAGTCTGGTTTCAATTTCTGGCATCAACTTTAAGGAAAAAAAAATCTGATAGAGGGAGGGAGACTGTATAAGAAGAATTTCTAACCCAAAAGCCCAGTTCTGGAATATGTTTCTCTCCATATTTTTAGTGTCTCTTGACACTGTGATGCCCCTGTTTGATCACACATTGCTCAATATGCCTTAGCAGCAGTGAGGTTTGAGAGGCTAAGGGGGCAGAGGGTAGTGGGAACCCTGTTAATTGCATTCTTTTTCTTATTCTTTTTTTTTAACTCTTTTTCTGTACTTTTGCTTCTTGTCTTTATAAGCTACTTCTCCCTAATAAACATTGATATGAACTGAAGAATGACTGTGTTAAAACAATGGTGAAACAGAATTATATGGTGTAGATGTGCTTGTTCCATACAAATTATACATCTGATGTCAAGATTTTTTTTGTTTTTTTCTTGCCCTACCCAGCAATGCTTTGCAAAAGGAAAAATGACTGTTTGGTGAGCAACATTTTTTTTTTGACTTGCTTACCTAAAATTAGAAGTTGAAATATCTAAGTCAGTAGTTATACACAAATCTTATGATTTGCAAATGTTCTCATTACTCATAGTTTCATTTGATATTAGTAAATTTATCCATTAGTTTAAAATTTAGCTCCTTGTTTTGCTGTTAGTCTTATAAGTCTCCATTTCCCAAGACTGATAAATAATCATGTGTTTTCCAGAAAGTAAAACTCTAGAAAAATGTAAGGGAAGAATGAGGATTATTCAGAAGCAAGTGAAAATACTTTTATGAATGGCTTCTGTTATATAAAAAATAGTGGAGAGTTACTTAAGATTTGATTGGTCCTAATACACAGGATTTTCTGTCCCATTTGTTTGATTTCTTTATTCATGTGTTACAAAATGCTTTCATATAATGAACTGCAAACCATTCAGGCTGGTGATTATTGCGTTCCATGATTAAATTAAGACACCTAGTTGCAGGTTTTACTCTTGGTGAAATTTTATCACAATTATTTCAACTGATGATATAGAGCAGCTATTTTATTTGCACAGTGGCTTTTTTTTTTAATTAATCAATCAAAGTAATTTTCAAAAATGGTGTAATAGTCTATGTCACATCCACTGCCATGAATTTTTAGGAGCGTGTCTAAAAGCATCTAAATCCTTTTTAGAAATAGGGTTTGATTTGCTAATCTCCTTGGTTCTGTTGATTTTTTTCTTCGCTTTGTGTGGTRTATTAACTACATCCTTAAGTCAGTTATGAGTGTAATGTAAATACCTGTACATATGGTACTGAGGTGACATTTTACGTGCTGGTGACAATTTTCCTGCTATTTTGAGAGGAATGCAATCCTGATCTTTTTAGAAATAATTGAGCCAAGTTCCTTTCCCGTGCTCCCTGTTGGGGTCAGCACAAAAACTGATACTCTGCTCATCCTGGAGCTGTCACTCATCTTTCAAGCCACATGAGATTTAGACCTTTTTTTCAGGATCAGGAAAGTTGTCTTAAGGGTCTCCGTAATTTTTCTAGATGTCAGCTTGGCCTGTGCTTTTCCAGAGTGCACACACAGAGTCTCTCCCTACCCCGGCTCTCTTCTTGCCTGGAGGGCTGGTCGCCTCTCACGTTCTTTGAACCTCACCAAGGCTCTGTACTCGCACCTCCTGCARACTGACTGTGTCTCCTCCAGGGAGCCTGGCAGCAGAACTTTCAGTCTGCCCCTTCAATGTTGCAGGACTCCACAGCACCAGAATGGATCGTTGAATGGGAAGGCAAGCCAGGCTGCTTTCTTCCTCTCCCCCGATAGCTTAGGTGATTTTATTTTTTTGCATCTATTATGAAATTTATGAAATTTCACAGTCCCAAAAGCCTATCTGGGAAATTTCCTGGTGCCCTTTCCACTGCTGTACGTGCCAGCACAGCTTTCTTCCCCTTCCCTTTCAAAATTGATGGCAGGGTGGAGGAGATGCAGAGGCAATCACAAAGAATTGTAGCACCCCTAAGTATACAAGTGTGATGGGTTGAGTTTTGGCAGGGAGAACTGCAAAAGGGACAAAATCTCAGCTGTCACAACTTGATGTTACAGTAGAGTGAGCCTAGGGAATGAAAAGCGATTCTTACTGCCTTGCAACAACCTTAAAGTATATTTTTTTACATTCTTTTGTCTTCCTAACACATCCCATTAACTGAACATATATTAGCCCAAAAGTTCTTTCCAAAAAATAGCATATTATTCTGTTATAGCCAGTCATTACCACATGTTGAGAGTACATTTTCTGGCCAAAATATGACAGACAAGCTTTAATACGCTTTTGTAAATAATGACATGTACAGCTGCAATAGGCCTGATGGGTTCTCTCTCTGAAATGGACTGCAAAGTGTATGCAGAAGTTTATCTATGTTGTACTTTTTCATTTAACTCTTTTCTTACAAGGGAGAAATTCGAGACTAAACTTATGTAAACCTCTGAATCATTCAAATTCAGTCCTTTGTACTAACAGGAAAGCCTCTGAGCTACAAATATTTTCCCCCTATAAATATTACACTTTTTTTTTCTTTTACTTTCCCTTCTACTGACTACTAATTAAGCAATATTTGGGGGAAACACTTCCCGCCTATAATTTGAACTACAGCAGGGTAAACGAAACAGGCAAACGCTTGTCTTGACTAATTTTCTGTCATTAATCTTATTAAATTAGAACAGGATTGCAAAGATAGCCTGAAACCACTACAGCACTCTGAGTCCTTTGCAGGCTGCTAAAAAGACAGCTGTCGGTAAACGGAGAAAAATAAAGGGAAAGAAAGAAAGAAAGAAAGAAAGAAAGAAAGAAAGAAAGAAAGAAAGAAAGAAAGAAAGAAAGAAAGAAAGAAAGAAAGAAAGAAAGAAAGAA